ACGTCTGTATTTATCCTCGAGAGGCTGTAGAACCTTTAGGAAAACTTCACTTTCTTGGAATTCTTATCGTGCGTACTTGATTCAGCTTGAGATATAACTCTTGAAATTCCTTCCACACGTCTGTATGCGCACGCGAGCGCTCAGTTCTGTATGTGCCTTGATGGCTAGTGATTCCCCGATCAAGGGGCGAGATGTAATCTCCGTGAGTTTGATGTTGGGCCAGTCTGGAGTACTTGAGGCCGGATCTTTGCCTATGGCTTAAGCACTGAGGTGCTGATTGTGTGGTATATTATATGATTTTACCTGAGGTTGCAGGTATAGGTTATTACAGCTGGTTCGGGTTTATTCTGGGTATAGATGTGAGGTTCTGATATTGTGTATGATTTCGGAAAGCGCAATGTGGTTCTATGGTTTATGGTTTAAATGGACTGTGAGATTTCGGCTAAATTGGGTTGTCGGACCTATATGAGATAGGGTGACGAGGGATCACCGCAGGTATATGCTTGGTAAGGTTATTCAGCTGTTGGTTGGCTTCTAGTACAACTGGGTACGCTCGAGGACGAGCGTTTGTTTAAGTTGGGGAGGATATGACGACCCGACCCGTCATCTCAGGTGTTACTGCTTCGTTTCTCCCATTTTATGTTTCCTTATGTTTCGTTATCGGTATGTGGTGTGTTAGAGTTTGATTTGGATTGGTTTTGATAAGAAGTGAGACACTTAGTCTCTTTAAGGAAGGCTTAAGTTGGAAAAGTCAACCGGACGTTGACTTATGAGTTAGAAGGCTCGGATGTAAATTTCGGTGATTCGGTTAACTTGGGGAGGTGATTTGTGGCTTAGGAGCGTGGTCGGAAGTGATTTTGGAGGTCCGGTGTAGAATTAGGCTTGAATTGGCGAAGTTAGTATTTTGGCGAAATCCGGTTGATGGGTGAGAATTTGATCCGAGGGTCGGAATGGAATTCCGAGAGTTGCAGTAGCTTCGTTAGGTGATTTTGGATATGTCTGCAAATCTTCAGGTCATTCGGACGTCGTTTGGTCGGGTTTTTGATCGAATGCATAATTCGGAAGTTTTTAAGAAACTTAGGCTTGAATTCGATGTGATTTGATGGTTTTACCGTTTTTTGATGTGGTTTGATGATGGGAACAAGTTTGAATGAGGTTTTAGGATGTATTGGTGTTTTTAGTTGAGGTCCCGGGGGCCTCGGGGTGAATTCGGGTGGTTAAACGGAGAATTCGGAGTTTGGTTGCAAGTTTGAAGTTGCTGGTTCTGTCATTTCCGCATCTGCGGAAAAGGGACCGCATAAGCGGTTCCGCAGATGCGGCTAAGGGGTCGCAAAAGCGGTTCTGGGAGGCTTGGAACTCTTCCGCAAAAGCGGACAAGGGTCCGCACAAGCGGCAACCGCAGGTGCGGTTTAAGACCGCAGAAGCGGTCCCTGGGGATTTAAGTGAGATCGTAGAAGCGATCATTTGGTCGCGGATGCGGTGACCGCAGGAGCGGAAATCGACCTGGAATTAAAGTGAACAGTGTTCACGAATTTGAAAGAGAAGGAAAACTATTTTGGACTTCGACTTAGGCGGTTTCTTGGGCGATTTTGAAGAGAATTCGAAGGGGTTTCATCAGGTACGAATTATGGGACTCGGATTATGTTATTATGGTGTAAAACAGGGATTTATCATTGAAATTCAAGGGATCAAATGCCTAAAATGGGTTAAGCTAGGGCTTGAAAAGCTAAGATGTAAAAATGGATTTTGAAAGGGCATTTGAACCCCGATTTTGGTAAATTTGATATGTATAGACTCGTGGCGAGACGAGGAGTCCGGTGATGTAAATTTCGTAATTTTTCGAGAAGCGGGCCCGGGGCTCGGGTTTTGCCAACTTCGTAAATTTTGGTGTTTTTCGAGTCTTTTCGATTGGGTTATGTTTCTTTAGCCTATTGTAATGAATTCGTTGTGGTTTTAATCAGATTCGGCGCGCGAAGAGGTTGATTCGAAAGGCAAAGGCATAGCGAGCTAGACTTGTGCTCGGCTTGAGGTGAGTAATAGATGTAGATGATGACCTGAGGGTTTGAAACCCCGGTATATCACATTGTGACGCTATATTGAGGCGAGACACGTACTCCATGACGAGTGCGGGGTCGATTGTGACTGGGGATTTTGACCTAGTCCGTTCCGATTGATGTTCGTACTGTGTTCTTGACTAGAAATTCTTTGGTAATCATCCTACTTGGATTTTATGAATATGTTTGGGGCTTTGTGCCTATCATTTGCATCCCTCAGGGATCCTTATCACTGCTTCCATGATGTTTAGCATATTTCATGATATCAGTCCTGAGTTAGACACTGCCTCAAAATGTTTAGTAAATAAATAAAGGTTTAAACACTTAGCTCTATAATTCGTAATAATTGAAACTAAAAATGAACAATTTGACTGTGCCCGAGTGGCTTGCATGCAAATATATATCTGGACTGAGTGTGGACCGAGCTGCACGCCGCAGCGAATACTACGATGATACTGCGCTTCGGCTGTAGGAGCCCCTCCGGAGTCTGAACCCCCACAGTGAGCGCGGGTACCCAAATGGATCGGGCTGCGCGCCGCAGCGGTCATGTGCATTGCATTGCATTCATGCATTTTATATCTGTTTGTCTTAAATTGTCATTGCTTGTTGTTGTTTCATCGTTAAACATGCTGAATCGTTGATTATAGCTTTATATTGTCATATTCCGGGATTTCTTACTTTCAGTCATTATATATGTTTATTACTCACTGAGTTGGAAGTACTCACTTTACTCCCTGCACCATGTGTGCAGATTCAGGTGCTCCGGAGACTTAGTGGAGCTGTTTGCTGTTTCTTGGAGTTTATTTTCAGGAGTTGTCGAGGTAGCTGCCTGACGTCCGCAGGACCCGACTCCTCCCCTTTATTTCATTTGTCTTTCCATATCCTAGACTTCTTTATTACTATGGATATATATTACTCTGTTACATCTAGAGGCTCTAGACTCGTGACTCCAGATCTGTTGGGGAATGTTGGGATATTCGTTATTATTTTCCATACTATTTTATTTAGTTTCGGATTGGAACCTTGGTATTTGCTATTTTAATCGTATTATTTGTTAACGGATTGTGTATTTGGGCTGAGAGTATTTAAATTGGTCGGGCTTGCCTGGCATTAGTGTTGGGCGCCATCACGACCGGGATTGAGGTCGTGACAGTAAGCTTACATCTTTTGGACCAAATTGTTTTGTATCTGAAAGATCGAAGAAGAAAAAGAAGGAATCTCGTTGAGAACTAAGAGATCTATCTTTATTGATTCAATAGTAACGATTACAAAAGCTCGTAATCAAAATCTAGACTTCAACTTTGTTATTGGAGGTCTCCTCCCATTCTTCCGTTCCTTTTTCTCTCCTGAAAGCCTCCCCTTCTTGCTTTCTTCTGTCGTATATATATTGTACATCTTTCCCTTTGTCCAACGGTCTTTAACCAACATACTCGTACTTGACTATACCCCTCTTTACTCGCTCAAGCAAGACTGTATATATTCTGTCGTGCAAGCCTTTCGATGGCCCGATATCGACAGTGGCCGAGACACTCGTTGCCATTACGCCTTACGGGTATGTCCATGACTTGATCGACCCTTTTCCATTCCTTTTAATGGTAATACACTTGTGGTCTGATTTTGAACATACAACTTCCTTTTTGGCAAAACGGCATTCTGACAATGTTGTGAAAATTTGATTAAGATAGTGTGAATATGTAAAATGTAAGGTGACTAAAATATAGATAATTTAATTTCTATGTATCTAACGTATAAAAAAAATTATGCTTGATGTTGAAGATATTATGATTGGTCTGATAATTAAGTTACTTATCTTTTGTCCCCCTAAATTATTAACACTCAATCTAAACAGTACTGCAATTATAAAACTATATAAGCAACTTGACTGCGCAAGCAATTTGACATTATCAAGAATATTTAAATTCTTCTTGAATAGATAGCATAAAATGAATGTAGGTTTTATTTACGAAACGGATATAATTCATAAATGTATATTATACTATCAAAATAATAAAATGTCTATACATATTTGGACTGAACCTATTATTATTTTTCGGAGAAAAAAAACTTATGTAATTTTGTTGAGATATATTATACTTAAAGTGTACTATTTCTTACGGTTTAAAATAATTTTTATGTATTTGGCTAACAAAAATGAAAAAAAAAAAAAAAAGAAGAAGAAGAAACATTTGAACTGTGCTATCTCAAACAAATGGAGTGGATAAAATAGTCACACTCAACAACAATTTTTATCCTATCATTTACAAACTAAAGACATGACATTATAATGTATTATTCTGTGGTTGCATATGAACTAAAATCAAATATATGTTATTCGGTACTGTTTCATATATTATCAAATGTCGGTAAGGTTTTGTCTAAACATTTGAATGAAACGTTCACATATAAAGCTTTATATTATAAGTGTACAATTGGTAAAAATCACTATGTAAAATTTTTATATATATCTATATTTTGGTGAATAAAATTATTCAATGATATTAGTATATGATATTCTATGAAAAAGAAAAAGTTGAGGTAGTGAAATTCATAAATTGATTTAAATACCATCATTAATCATAATGATACAGTTGGTATGAAGGACAGAGCTAGAAGCCCGTTATAATTTTGATCGAACACATTAGTTTTTGCTCTTGTTATTATTAATTTTTTTCATCCTTTCGTTAGCCAAGAGTCTATTGAAAATAGCTTCTTCGTTACATCTTAGACTTCACTTATGAAAATTTAATGGGTGTATAAGTTGTTACTATTATATTACCTTTTGTACAAATAATGTATTTATATTATGAAATTTATTAAATATATAAATACTAAATTTAAAACCGTGGTTGGTATGTCATTTTTTTGTAAGATAGTAAATGTCTGTGCTTTTAAAATCAAATCACCAAGTAGTAGTCAATATTTAAATAATGATAATAATTGCAGATTTTATTCACACACACCAATACTACAAGTGACAGCAAGATCCTAGTTAAGACACAACCAACATTTGTTCTCTCTCTCTCCTGGTCTCTGCTCATCATCTTCTTCCATTTTTTTGCTGATTAAAACAGAAATTTTCAAGCCTAAAGAAAATTGTGTTAAGAAAAAAATGGCAAGTGGGGGTGGCTATGGAGATGCAAGTCAAAAAATAGACTATGTTTTTAAGGTGGTATTAATAGGTGATTCAGCTGTAGGAAAATCTCAAATACTGGCTCGTTTTGCTAGGAATGAGTTTAGTCTTGATTCTAAGGCTACTATTGGTGTTGAATTTCAAACAAGGACACTTGTTATTCAACATAAGTCTGTTAAAGCTCAGATCTGGGACACTGCTGGTCAAGAAAGGTACTAATAGGATTTTGCTCTTTTAGTTATATTATTACTGAAAAATTGAATCTTTTTTAGTTCTTGTTTTGTTATAAGCTTGTTGGTGTGTAGTTATCAATGGCTGCTTTTTCTGGTTTTTTCATTGTTTTTGAACTGACTGATTATATAAATAGTAATGTTAAGTAACTGTGATAGCCCAGCCCAATAATGATATTGTCCGCATTGGGCCTAACCCGCACGACTTTAAAATACAGTCACTAGAGTCTGAGGTTCGGCTACTTATATACCCAGCATCTCTCTCGTGTTTTGTCGGGATTCGCCAAGGGTGTCACATACACCCCCTTAGGGACTCAGGGAGGATCGCCAAGGGTGTCACAGTAACAACTTTTGATGACTAAAAATGAATGAGAAAATGTCTTTCAAAGAAGAAAAAAAAGGTTTTTGGAGTCCTTCAAATGTAATTGCCATATAAAATGCAAGAGGGTGTACTTTTTTTGTGGGTTTTAAGCAGAGAAGTTTACTGAATTGTGTTTCTGTTGCTCTCTTCTTCACTTTGACCCCCCCCCCCCCCCTGTTCTTATGACCTGCGTTTGAAGCTGCTGGAATCTTAAAAGAGATTTAGTAAGTAATGTTTTCATTTTAAGTTATGCAGAGCTGTGATTTGCAGACTAGATTTTCATATTTGCTATGTTTGATTGATTATTTGGGTTTGAACTGTACATTCTTGAGTTTGGAGTTTTGAGAATTTCACTTCCTTTTCAAGTAGATCTCTTTGCGAAGGAAAAGTTTTTTAGTAGTCCAACTAGTAAAATCATAGTGTGTTAGCTGTATTCTTCAAGCTTAAATTTATCCGGTAATTTAGATGTTCACTGTAGATTTGAGACTTGATGCTGAGTTTGGATCTTGGATAAAGTAGCAAATTTAGTTTATAAACTTGAACTTAACTTGATTAGTAAAAGAGGTGAATCAGGTCAGACTCGACAAGTCAAGATTCAAGAATTGCATGTAAAAGATGTTTCTGAAGAAACATTGACTCGCAACTCGGTGCACATTAGTATCATGTTCAGTTCTCAGATTCCCTGAGGATACTTATTTCATTAAATGCTATTTTAGCAAAACAGTGAAGTGAGCTTTGCTTTTGCTATCAGTTTTGTTGAATGCTTAGTCTTCCTAAAATCACTTGAGGAAAAGTTTGATATTGGTGAGTTTGTATACTGAACTCATATAAATGCTACTCCTACTAAGAGATTCAGGTTGTTAGTTTTCTTTTCCTTCTTAATGAGTAATGATTTCTTAGGCTTCCTGCCCCCTCTTTCGTCTTAAGAGAGGATAGATGATAAAACTGTTGTATAGCACTACAGACTGTAAAATGTTGCAATATCCCGTACAGATGTCTATCAGAATTGTCCCTCTTACTGTAGGAATGCATCAATTTTGCCCCTCATACTAAACGACTTATACCACTACGAATTTTGGTAGTCACAATCATTGTCCCGAGGCTGCAATTTCTTCCAAATCAATCAAAAAATCATGTATTAGAGGAGAAACTAGTGATGACTATCACCATTACATTACTTAAGCTGCAATACAGGTTCTAAGCAGTTCTTGTTATTTTTTTTTTCTTGATAACCGAGAAATCCCCAAGTGCAGTGGTGCACAGTTCGAAACTCGATTGACAATGGGTCTGCCCCTTTACCCTTCCCTACCTAGATACTAGATTTTGATTATGGTACGGTTGACATGCGTCTAGCCCACATAACACCCGTTGCGCTCTTACAACTAGACCAATTTCCTGGGGGCAGCAATTTGTGTTAATTTATTCGCTTCCAGTTACTCCAGCTCTTGCTTAGCTAGATGTTGATGAGTAAAACCATCAGATGTTTCTTTCATTCCTTTTTATTCTTTTGGGGTGGGAGTTGGGGTGGGTCATGTCCAATTTTCTTTGTCAGCTATTCTGTGATCCTTGGTTTAACTAATACATTCTTGATATCCCTTTTAATCAGGTTCTTCTAATGTTCCCTAATCTCTCTTTTGTAACTTTTGCATCTGCTTGATGCCTTTTAATGAGTTAACTTACTTCATAGAAAAGTGCTATCTTGGAGGGGGATCATAAATAACATTTTAGAATACATCCATGCTAACTTAAATATTGCCTTAATATGGTGTTTTTTGGGCTTTGATTCTGACTAATCATCTGCAAAATATGCCTGCTCTCGACCAGACCTTGTTTTATTTGGAAGAAAGGTCTCATACTATCGAATTGCCTTAGTATGCAAACACATGCTGTATGACTTACTGGAGTTATGATCACTGCTAATACTAATTCCTTTTGATTTATTAGTATGATGCTTGGTATTAGCTCTTTCTTAGGCATATAAATGTTAGACGGTGAGAGGGTATTCGTTTTCCCACAAGGTTTCGATTGTCTAGGATTGCTGTCGGACGGGATATGATAGAAGGTTCGGTGTCTTAACAGCTTTTATGTAACTCAGTCGTTCTTTTGGTGTCATGATCAGATATAGAGCTGTCACGAGTGCGTACTACAGGGGAGCAGTGGGAGCTCTGCTTGTTTACGACATAACAAAACGCCAAACTTTTGATCACATACCCCGCTGGCTTGAAGAGTTACGTGCGCATGCTGACAAGAACATCGTGATTATGCTGATCGGAAACAAAACTGATCTTGAAGATCAACGAGCTGTTCCAACTGAGGATGCTAAAGAATTCGCGCAGAAAGAAGGATTATTCTTCTTAGAGACTTCTGCAATGGAAGCCAGAAATGTCGAGGACGCTTTCTTTACTGTTTTGACAGAGATCTTCAACATTGTGAACAAGAAGAATCTTGCTGCAGGTGATGATCAAGCAAATGGTAATTCTGCATCTTTAACTGGAAAGAAAATTCTTGTACCTGGTCCTGCACAGGTTATCCCAGAAAAGAAAGCTTGTTGTAGATCTTGAAATATTACAATTTGGGATTGTTCTTTCATTTTTTGGGGTGTCAATTTCTTGGGTTTGTTAGATTCAAAGTCATCTCATATTGATTCTTGAGTCTTTTTGGTTATATATTTTTATTGTTATTTTTTGTACTGTTAATGAAAGGAAATGGTTATTGTGAGTTAATGGAAGGGGACAGCAGCAACTTATTACATAAGCTGCAACAAGAATTCTTCATGCGAGACTTAGGGCTCATTAAAAAATGAAGCTTGGCGTTGAAATTCTTTGAACCAAATCAGTTTTGTTCCTATCTCAACGAAAAGAATTTCTGACTTGCTTGCTCGCTTGATCACTGGAATCGAAGCCAACACAAGGATGGGAGGGCAAACGGAATACAATAGAGAACAAAAGCTACACGATGGAAGCCAATTGCACCTTCAACATCTACTGGATCTCAAAGAGAAAGATAAATCTATTTCATCTGTAACTACAAGATAGGACTTTATAGTTACTGGTTATAGTGTATTGGCTTTAACTTTTGTATATTGACGCTCTAACGAATTTCTTACACTATCAAGTCATCTAAAAAGTAATTTTATGTAATCACCGGAAAAATAAATTAGAGTGTATATCATAACATATTAAAATACATAGACGGTGGAAAAGTGCTAGTTAAATCTTAATTATATTTAGTGGTGTGTAAAAATGTTAGTTAAATCTTAATTATATTTAGTGGTTCCTTAGTCTCATGATGTAATGTTTTCCTTGGATTTGAAGATAGCTTTTCTCGCATAGAATTGATAATTTCGACCCTAAATTATGATTTCTTTCTTAAACTGATGATTTTTTTTCCCTTGAACAGTTCAAAAGCATATGAATTAACTTTACATTACTTCAAAATAATTTTCTCTAATCTTTATAATTTGAAATTATGATTTTAAACTATACCAAACAATTTAATAATTGATTCACATTTCCCTCATCTTATTCCAACAGTTGCCGGTGAACACGTATAAGATCGTCGATATTTTGGCTATGGTAAGGTTGAAACTATAACTTACTTCTAATTCATATATCACGCGCTACACTTTTACCATTGAATCAAAGCCTTGGAACGGTAACTGTTTGCATTAAATACAAAAGAATCCAATATCATTGGCATGTATAGGGGATTATAATGTTATTTTGATAGTTGTATTTCGCGTTTGGCACATGAAATATTGCATATGAGATTGAAATTTCGTGATAAAAAATGTGATTGACCTATAACAATTAGCTCAAATTAACTTGCACCACAAATAAATTCAAACTAACTTACATCACAAAAGCTAATTAACAAACTCATTTCCCTATCATAAATAAAATCCAAAATGCACACTATTACTTATCACACAACTCAAGCAATTATCTCACAACACATATAAGTAATACAGATGTAATTATTATGTCTCAATACCAACCAAATTAGAATCAGACATATGAATCTTTACTAACCATAGCATCCCATTTAAACTACCTGAATAATATTATCTGGTTAGATCTAATAATGTATCAACATATTTTTCTTTGATATCAGGTAAACTTATTCTCTTTATTTTGCTAGAATTTGGCATTTTATCTTACTCTTCCTTTTCAACAACCCCCCGCCCTCCCACCAAAATTTCTAATTAGTACATATAGCACCATATGATATTGTAACGATAGCCACAATTTCAAAAGGAATCGAAATATGCCACTTGTTCATGTAAAGATAAAATTTGAACAAGAACACCCTCAAAAATTCGGAAAAATTCCAGCATAATATGCTGGAGTTCGAATCTTTTACATATGAAATTCCAACATAATGTGCTGGAAGTTTGTACGGAGAGTTTCAAAATCCAGCATATTATGGTAGAACTTTCTGCGTTTCAGCTAAAATAGTGACTATTTTTCAATGACTTTGCAAACTCTGACTATTTTTCGATTACCAGTTCAAAAACTGGCTAGCCCATGCTATTCTCCCAGAATTTGCTGCAGAAAATGGAAATTTAATTTAAGCCTCAAGGCCAAATAAATATGATACTTAATTCTTCAACATATTGTTAAAGTACACAAATTATCTTCATCTTAAAATTTGCTGCAGAAAATGGAAACTTAATTTAAGCCTCAAGGCCAAATAATTATGATACTTAATTCTTCAACATATTTTTAAGTACACAAATTATCTTCATCTAAAAATTATGGTTGTAGATATATTGAATAAACTGAAGCAACCTACAAACAAACAACTAAGAAATTCACAATCATGGTACACCTATAACAGTTTCCAAAATTGTTAGTTTTAGTTCTCTCATGGTTGTTTTGTGTCTTCTTTAACTTCAGCTTCCTCTGCTTCAACTATTTCATCTGCCTCTACAGTTAATGGCTTGGTTTCCGGCAATGACGTATTTGTTTCCACCTCCACACCCATTGACATCCTTTCCAGAAGCTCTTGGCAATCAAGTGCAGTGACCATCACTGCGATATTAGACCTGCCTCTCCAGCATCCTATAGCTATAGTTGATGGATCCGCTTGAGCTTCTGACAGCGTCTTATTGTCTACAAGAAACGATCAACCAAACTTAATCAGAAGCAAAGCAATGAGGATATTTTGCTAGGAAATGAGGCATAATGCATAGGCGTTTGGACAACATTTGGTTGAAGTTGAAAAAAGAGTATTCGAAATTGAAGTTCTTTGGAAGTTAAAGTTGTGTTGGACATGAATTTCACAAACAAGTATTTCAATATTTAACCAGTATTTCACAAACAAGTTTTTCACTCTTTCTTTAGCAAAGGGTCTATCTGAGACAGCCTCTCTGCCCTTCCAGAGTAGGGGTAAGGCTGCGAACATCTTAACCTCCCCAGACCCCGCTCGTGGGATTTCACTGGGTCGTTGTTATTGTTGTTGTAACCGGTATTTCAAACACTGAAATTCAATATTTGCAAAACTGATGGACAAACTTCAACATGCAAATAATGATTTCAGTATTTGCAAGTAATCACGGCCAAACACACATCACATCTAACCTTTGTTCAGAACCACGACGCAACAACCCATCAACAGCTGTGAGGCTTTTTCACCAAATCCAGCATCAACAAAATCACCAAATTTAATGCTCTTGTACTGCAAAAGATGCTTGAAGTCCGCAGGAGATGCATATAATATTTGATTGGTTAAATACGGCAGCATTAATGGCAATGCTTCAGATGATATCCGGAATATACATGGTGAAGATGCACCATCTTTTGATGTTTGGCGCTCCTGCAATAAGGAAAGAATCAAAGCAAAAAGATCATCTAAAAGGTGCAATAGGAAAGAAGATATGAGAAAAGAAAGACCCTCACTCTCTTCTCACTCCTTAATCTTACTTTATCTTATTAAGGGAAGAAAAAAAAAGAAAAAAAGGGGGACTAGTTCGGGATCGTAGCATAATTATTGCTGGTGCAATTTTTACTATTATGACACAAGCCCTATGAAGAGAAGTTAAGTGTCAAGTGTGACAAAATCCCCACAAAGAGAAGTTGTGTCAAATTTGAAAAAAAAAATCCCACGAAGAGAAATCAAGTGTTAAATTTGGATAGACTTACAAACATCTTGAGCCCAACTGAAGCTATTTTAAGCTGCTGACCAGCTAGAAAATTGAGATGCAGAACTTCCTTCACAGAGTTTGACACATAATAAACTCTCTTCACATGGTTCATATCGCTATTCCTCGTAATTAGATGTCCTTCGAATGGAAAGGAATCCTTGATACCATAGAAATCCTTTATCTTACCCACAACTGCCTCCTCTTTGTAGAATATAACCGGGTCAACCCCTCTCCACTTGCCTTGCATTTGTAATTTTCTTTTCCCTCTATTAGTCTCAGGCTCAGCTCTTGTATCAGTAGAAGGTTGAGTTTCCTCATTCTTATTTTTCTCCAATGTTTCACTGGGCTCAGTATCCAAAATAGTTTCGTCGGTTCCATTACCAGCATCAACCGTAGTCGTCTCTTCGCTACCAACAGAATCCACTGGCTTAACATCCTCAACATTTACATCTTCTTTAACCTCGGTCATTGAACTTTCAGCTTGAATATCAGCATCATCCATAGTCACATCTTTGTTACCAGCAGAATCCACTGGCTTAACATCCTCAACATTTTCATCTTCTTTAACCTTAGTTGTTAAACTTTCAGCCTGAGCATTACTGGAACTCATCTTGCCGCGCAGAGAGACAGGTTTCTTCTGCTGAAAGGCTGAAGCTGCCAGAAATGGAAAAATGTACCTTAACAGTTACGTAAATACAGAAAGAAATCAAATGACAAACGATCCAATTTTCTGATTAATGTACTAATGAAACTATGGGTGTTAAACTTTAAGCACACCTGGCAAAGGAGAAAGCTTGTGAAATACAGCAATAAAAAAGGCTCCACTATTCTGATCATGCGGCACTATCCTCATACAACGTTCCAGCGGTAGAGTTGAAACTTCCTCATCATCCAAGATTGTAGCTGCAGCTGCAGAATCCTCCAACACCGGCATGTCATTTTCAGAAGTATCATTATTTCCATTATCAGACAATGGAGCTCTAGTTGCATCATCATTTTGCTCAGATGCATCCACATAGGTTTTGCCAGATGGGAACATCCCGGGAACAACACCACCTCTGCGATTATCCGGAACATCTTTGTAAGAAGCATACCACATTCCTTTATCTCGAACCTGCACGTACAGATGAACAAACATCAGATAAAATCATGCAGTACAAGCAATGGAATCTGTCTAACGCATATGGAATTAAAACTCTTTAAAAAATTATTTTAATCTTTGTTCATGCTCCTGGCCGCCACGCTACTAAAAGATCAATAGAACTTGTAAATACAGACAAGATCAGTAAAAAGCTGTCCAGATGACTAAAAGCAATTCATGTGATCACTTCCTATCATTCTTGGGAGCAGTACAAGAATCATACAGCGGAATACTTGCTTCATCCCAATTTGTTTGCCACTCTTTCCTTTTTTTGTCCTTCCAAAAGATTGACATATTTCTATATCATAAACTAATTAGTAACTTTTACATTTCCACTGTTACATTGACATGACCTGTTCCGGGGTCCACTAGCAAATAGCTTGATACTAGGATACTTTTGGTATTTTATGAATATTCAGCCAATGTGTCAAACATCTTTGTATTTTTTCTTAAACTCCATGTCCAGTCAAACACCGTTAAAAAAATTGGGATGGCAGGGCTATTAAATTTTATATGCCACCCACAGAAGAAAACAATAACACAGAAAGCTGTGCGAAACACTTGGAAAAGGAATGCATTCTCATGCTCGTGAACAGAAAATTCCCAATCCTTACGTCCCTCAACATGGTTAAAGCTCCACGCATGCGAACCATTAGAAAGTAGTAGCAAAAGGATACTCAGCCTTAACCAAAATCTCATGAACCAATTTCAGTTTCATATCAGAGAAGGGAATATATTCCAACCTTATTATATCAAAGTTCGGATTATAACGGTCGGGACCCTCTGCTATCGTGCACGGGGGTGGGGGGTGGGGAGGTGTTGCATATAGATCCCAATCTGTAATATAGAGATCA